GTGTAGACAGAGGAAAGCAGGGTTGCCGCAGTGTGGACAAGGCTGCCGGCGAAGATGCCGACCTGGAGACAGAACCCTCTGGCTGGGCCCCCACCCACCCCCAGACCTCCCCTTAGAGCGTTATCTCCAGTGTGGACCCTCGGCCCTTCGCACTGGACGGTGAGCCCGTCGGGGAGGGCCCCCCACTGCGCTTTCTCTGCTTGGCAAAGGCCGGCCACAGAGTGCAAGCCAAAAATATTTGTTCATGAAACCGTGAATGAGGACATAAAAGGGGGGTGGGGGTAACTTCTTCGTTTTTATCCATTTTTCTGCTTAAGACGACTATAGTGAGCGATCCACGGGGTGAATCACGTTTTAAAGCGAAATTATCAGTTCACTGGTAGGCTATACAGCAACGGCATGTAGTCAACTCATGCGCTACTCGGTTTTGTGATTTTTCTAGGGATTTTGAGTCATTGTTTTTATAGTGTTTTATAGCAGGAAGTGCCCATATACTCTATTCACCTGCTCATCTCACAAATGACATCTCTTCTCCCAGAGTAACCCAATTTGCCACAAAAATGAAGCTTGGATCACCTGGAAAGTTAAAAACAACAAATACAGAGCTTATGGGGGGGCTGTGGGGGGGGAGGAAAAAAGTTCATGTCTGTTCATGAACTTTATCCTTTTTTACATAAAAATACTGGAATTGATGGCTGTTGACCTCTGTGCTTCCAGCACCGCGGGTCTTACAAAGGAGCCAATAAGCATCACACACAAATGTTAAGGTTCCGTGCGAGTTATTCCAGAAGTCACACGGAGTCAGGATTCTATGTGTGTCTGGGGCTAGGATGGCATGCCCCGTGGACCCCTGCACCCGTGTAAAGGAGAGTGTCACGAAAGGCTGGAAACTGAGTAAACCCAACTCTGGGGTTCTTGCAGCCACTACCCCAGACCCCAGACAATGCCCAGACGCTCTGCACATGCATGCCCGAGGGAGGCCACTGGGGAGGAGCTACATGGAAGGAGAGACCCCCGATACATGGCTATGTACCTCACCCTTTCCCAATCCGCTCCTGAAAACCAGTCCCGAGTCAACGCAAGAAGGGGAAAATGTTCATTCCACTTTTGACAAATGCTTGAAAGTACTGGAAACAGCTGCTAAAAATAATCAAGGTCAAGAAGGAGTCACACAAAAAAGTAGGTAAGAGATGAATGAGGCAAAACCCTACCCCCTGTAGACCTAGAAGTTCCCATCAACACTGCACTTTGTATCTTCATTTCTTCATTTGTCTTTAGTTTATCCTGAGAAAGTGAGAAAAAGCAGGAAGGGGAGAGAGAGAGAATCCCAAGCAGGCTCCGCACTGGCAGCACGGAGCCCGACACGGGGCTCGAACTCACGGACCATGAGATCATGACCTGAGCCGAAATCGAGAGTCGGACGCTCAACTGACAGAGCCCCGCAGGCGCCCCCAAACTGCACTGCCTACAGTCTAGGGGCATGATGTGAGGGCACAACACATGGAACAGGACGTGTCCAGTGGGTGCCAAGCTGCATGTGAAGGTGGGTGGTGTCTGGAGCCACTCTTGTGCCCAGACCCTATCTCCAGGGAAAGAGACGACAAGCGTTACACGAAGAAGACACGTATCTGCAGGAAGCGCTCGGTCCTTGGGGCCACGGAAAAGAGAGCCTCCGAGCTGTGTAGCCATTAACATCACCTGGTGGTCACACTGACGGGACCCTCTTGCAAACAACCGGGCAGGAATACCCAATTCGTTCAAAACGATACCAAGCACAAATCCAGCACATCTATGTGAGGAATGCAGGTGGATGCGTCTCACAGTTATTAACAAATGAAGACCTGCCCAAAAAGATGGCTACATTAAGCAGATGAAAATCGTCAACAGGGGCGCCTGGGTGGCTCAGTCGGTTAAGCAGCCGACTTCGCTCAGGTCATGATCTCGTGGTCCATGAGTTCGAGCCCTGCGTCCGGCTCTGTGCTGACAGCTCAGAGCCTGGAGCCTGCTCCGGATTCTGTGTCTCCCTCCCTCTCTGACCCTCCCCCATTCATGCTCTGTCTCTCTGTCTCAAAAATAAATAAACATTAAAAAAAAATTTTTTTAAATCATGAATGTATTTGTTGCTATCAATTTCAAAAGATTCAGTAGGGCAATTCCCTACGTGAAAAGCACCCCACCGCAGAGCTGCTACAATTCAGTGAGGAGATGGCAAGACGGCAAGAAGGTCTGAAACGTGAACTGGAAGAATGTGAGAATGTGGAAAGAAACAGCAGGAAAACAACAGCCGCCACACAAATGAGGACATAATTAGACGAAGCACAGGTCAAATCGATAACTGCACAAAACATAGTGAGGAACACCGAAAATTGACACACAACTAAAAGAAACAAATAAATTTTTTTAAAAGGTATTTTTTTTAATTAGGGAAATTTAGGGACACCTGGGTGGCTCAGTCAATTAAGCATCCGACTCTTGATTTTGGCTCAGGTCATGATCTCACGGTGCGTGAGTTCGAGCCCCACGTTGGACTCCACGCTGACAGTGCAGAGCCTGCTTGAGATTCTCCCTCTTTCTCTCTGCCCCTGACCTGCTCGTGCTCTCCCTCTCCCTCAAAATATATAAACAAACTTACAAATAAATAAATAAGTAAGCAAATTGGGAAATTTTATGGCTAAGAAATGCAAGGTAAAGAAATCTACGCAATGAAGTCCCTGAAGAAGAAAAACCAAATACTGGAAGATAAGAAATTGGTAATGTTGGAAAACATCAAAAGTTTCCATACCAGAAAACTCAAATATACACATTGAAAAGTCTTATCTTGTGCCATGGAAAATTATTCTAGAATGGTCAACAGTGAAATGGATCCCACGAAATTGATTGAATTTTCAAGTTCCTACCAGGTTGCCAAAATTACCAGGTTCAGGAAAAGCAGGGAAATATCAAAGTGGCCTCAGACTGCTCCATAATCACATTCAAGGCCAAACATAACGGAGTTATTTCTACCAGATACTTGAGGAAATGGTGAGTCAAGGATTTCGTATCCAGCCAAGCTGCCTTTCAAATATAAATGCTGCAAAACGTTTTAAGTATGTAAGAAATCATACTTAAATTATGGTTAAATTATCAGGTTAAATTATCTCATAAGCTCACCCGGGGGAAATTACTAGAAGACAAATGTTAGCCCACCCAAGGATGACCAGTAAATTGCAGTGCGAGGGTAATGCTATGCAATGAATATGTGTTCCAATAAAAGTAAGACTAAAACAAAACTGGAAATTGAGATGACAAGACAGACCGGAAATGTTATGTCCCCTGAAATGCAGAAATGATACAACAGACAAAAATCGGCAGTTTAGGGGACGTGAGTCAGAGAGAAAGAATAAGTTGGTGAATGCCCAA